ATACATTTAAGTCTTTTTTATTTGGGGGCCCAAAATTGCTTTAAAAGCTTTATAGTGATAGGGCCCAGCCCTTTTGTTTTAAGTGGGAAAGAAAAAATGTCACTATGTTTCATTTTATATTTTAAACACTTTTAAATTTAAGTTTGGGTGTGAAAAATTTTGTAGATTGTACAGTACTTTTTTTTCATACTCATTAAATTCCTTACCAGCCCGGGGTCCCGGTTTTTTAAAAAAGAGGGGTCTTAAGCGTGATTTTTTTTAAACCCAAACAATTTTAGCTACAACTGGGCATACGACTGTTGATAAAACGGTACCCTTGTGTCTTTTGGGGACTTTGATCTTGACCCTGGAGGAGGCGGTACCTTCAGAATTAAGACAGCACTGGAGGGAGACCTCTGTATCATGTTGAGAATGTGCAGAACCAGATCTTGAACCTGGGACCCTAGGAATACGGTACTGCGGATCTCTTGGCTAAGCTATTTGGCCCTGACACATATTTTCCCCTAATTAGTGTCCAATTTTAAGCCGTGTCACACTCCCTCCACTATATAAAAATTTGTTTTTTAATTTTAGATGGGCAAAGAGAACACTTTACAGTGACTCTGGACCTATATACAATTGTGTCCCTCACTGGAAATATTTTGGTTTAAAAAGAAATGCCCAAATTTACATTCTTATTGTTACAAAACAAAAATTTATGTATAAAAGTCATTAGGGTATATGTTAAAAGTAAATTAAGCGGAGGGGACTAAAAAAAAAAAAAAAATAGGCAGCTTTCAGTGAAAGTTTTATAATAAATAAAGCTCAAAGACAACATTTAAAAGCAATACTGATACATTATACGCAATAATTGAAGTTTATGGAGTAAACATGACATATGCAAGATGTAAATAAATTCTTGCTTTTGATTTCTTGTTAAAATCCTTGGTGTACATACATACAGGAATTTCTTATCTGTGTTGAGATTACATGATTAGTATATACATAAATAGAGTAATTTATTATACCTGCTAAGTTCACAACGTTTTTAAAAATAATAGATACACGTATTTTCTTAATGCCGATATTTAAACTTCCATTGTAAGATAAACACCTTAAATTAGTAATTTTTAATTTTAGAATCCAGTTTACATGTTTAATATATATTAATACAATGATTTCTTATTGCATCATAAAATCAACATTGTTATCTTTACATAATATTAACAATTTCTTATTCATTATAAGTTTTCATATTAAATACTCAGTAATACAGTAATTTCTTTAGGCCTTTTTTGGTCAATAACAAAATTATCTTGCAAATTTTTATAAGTTATTTGAATAAAATCCATCAGGAAGCGAGCCCAAACCCACACTTTTCTGAAACCGAGAGAGATAAAGAAATTTTTTGATTCCCAATTTCTATGTATAGCCCATTCAAAAATCAGCAAAAAAAATGCAATTGCCGACAAAGGGAATTTTCCACTAGAAATCCGGGAACGTCAATAAAAACTTGCCTATTTGGTTTACCGCTATGGTCCGTTGGTTAAATTAAAAAGGAAAAAAAGTTAGAAATTGAATAGGATAAAAGAAAATATTTTCCGCCCTTTTATGCGAATATTGGATTATAATTCCAATTAATTAATAATTTTTCTTATATTTTTCAATACTACTTCTCAGATTTCCATTGTTAGTTGGAAAAAAAAATCAAAAAAAACAAATTTTCTAATATAATTTAATTTGGGCCTTGTGTGAGGTAGAAATTGTCACACAATTTTTCTCCCTTACCTGGGCTTTGAATATTTAAAATTGCTTTTATAGAACATTTTTTTTTTAATTTTTCCCCCCTAATATGATGAATGGGTTTTTGTCCAGATTTGAAATAATGCTGGGCCAAGTCCATTTAAGAAATTAAGTGTGGGTAAGGGGTTTTTTAAGGGTGTAAAAGCAAGATATGTTGTAGTTTTTAAATAGTATGCTCCCTTGGAAATAAAAGTTGCCACCCATTTTAGGAGTCATTTAGCACTCATACAATACGAAATCATATTAAACAGGATAACAATTTAATGCCGGTAAAAAGCCAAATTAAAAAGGAAGATTTTTTGGTGAAATGTGAGGTCATTTCTGCAGAAAGTTTCAACAAAAATATGTCTCTGCTTTTAGCCGATACAAAGTAATTGAGAAAACAGAATTCAACATAAAATTCAACTGCTATTTTTAGTAAATTTAGCAATGATTTCAAGCAAGCACAGCTTGCTTTCTTGGGATTTTAAAAAACATTTTTTATCCTTTTCAATTTTTTGATACCAGCAATTGATTTTTTATTAGGAATCAAACAATTACTTTATGAATTCAAACAGCCCACTTAACGTTTTTTATTTTTTAATGAACAAAATTATTTCTTTTAATACTTGACATAAGTTTCTCTATGCCAAAAAAAAAGTCCCACACTCTAAATCTTTACTTCATCTTAACATAAATTTTAAAAACAATGATACAAGTGAATGTCAAGGGTCATATATTGGTGTCAAGGTCATTGAGATTGACCTAGATGTTATTGTCATTTAATATTAATTTAAACCTTGACGCGCCATGCAACACTTGAAAAGTTTTAGTTTAATGTGAAAAATTTTCATTTTCATTTTTATTTAAATTTGACGGGGAAAAAATTACCCCGAAAGTACCCAAAAAAAAGCGATATTGGGTATTAGGAAAACCCCAAATTAGACCTGAAATAAAAAAAAAATATTCAAAATTGATTCCCAAAGGGCTTATAAATTAAAATCTTTGGCAACACAGGATTTCTTACTAATCTACAATCAACATTGCCTTTGTATTACTTTAACTACTTAGTACTTTTAAATAAAATTTCCATATGTAAACAAACATCAAATAAATGCTTTTATATCTCATATGCATAATACAAACAAAACATTTAAAGCGAAAAATCAGTAACAAATATGTAAACTCTATCACTCCTACAACAATGTCATATGTCAAATCATAAATTTGTACAACTTGTAAAAAATACTGATAAAAAATAATACATGCAATATAAAAGAATTGAAGAAATAGATAAAGAAAGCTAACAATGAAGCACTTTTATAACTAAACATAAAGTTATTATATTTAAACAATGAACAGTGAATTAGAAAGATATGTTAATAATGCTGAAACTGAGTCGGTTTTTTTTTTTTTTTTTTTTAAAAATGGCTTTTACAAGAAATATAAAAAACAATTGGTCAACTTTTCACCATTTCCTTTCTTCAATCTTATATAAATTTAATAGCAAAATATTGAGAAAGATTTTTCCTCCCAGCTCATACGTTGCTTATTAGATCTCTTATCAACAAAATTAAGTGCCTTACTAAAATAGGCCAAGAAAATTAAATCGCCCATTGTGACAAAAAAATGTCTTTATTTTTTTTTTTTTTTTTTTTGCTGCCAAAAACTAAGCATTTGCCTCAAATCAAGAAAAAAAACATTCAAGTTTTCTTTATTATGGCTTGAATTTCTTTCAAGGATTCATGGTCCTAAATTTTTTTTTTCTCCCAAAATTTCTTGTTTTACGAGATGTAAAAAAATCCGTCGCTGGATTTTTTGAGAGTTCCAATCCCTCTTTATACTGCTGCATGAACAAATGGGGTCCCCAATCAGATGCTGGTTTTAACCAGGTAAAGAATTACGCTGAAATATATAATAGAAAATTACATTTACCTTTCATCATGCACATTTTACTACATGTAGATGTTTTTTTGGGGAAAAAGTTTTTACGGCAGAAAACAATATCAAATTTATTTTAAATGTTTTAGTACCTACGCCTAAAATTAACAAATATAAAAGAATTTGACATATTTTTTTTTTTCCAGCAAATTAAAAATTCTGCTGTTATTAAAATTTGTGTTTTGCAAACATAAAGAAAAGAGTGGTAATTTTTATTAAAACTTTGATTTTTTTAATATTTTTAAAATATACATAATTATAAAAGATACCCCCCTGTATATTTTTACCTTCTTTAAAAAGCCCTTTGGCTTGCCATATTTGATAAATCATGACAACCCGGTAATTGGGAATGATTTGGGATCATGGGGAAATGTTTCCCTTTAATACTTTTGAGGCAAACACTGGATATTTTTACCCGTATTAGTTCTGGTGGGCACATTTACTAGGTAGCCCACAATCACCAGAAATGTGATTTAAATGTGTAAAAATAATTGTAAATGTCAACAAAGTAAATATCACCCAAAAATTAGAAAAAATAGCCTGGCTAGTTATAAACTGGTACATGTAGCACATCACCAGAAAATTTAATCTTTTAATGTTGTACATATCAAACTGTAAATTGTTTCACAAAGTAAATATCCCAAAAATAGTTAAATAGCCTGGCCAGTTTAATATTTTGGTAGCCACATCACCAGAAATATCAATGAACATAGTTAAGTCAACAAAGTAATATCACCCAAAACTACCAAAATTTGGTTCTGGCAGTACACATAACCAGAACTCTTCATGATAGGACATGTAAAATCAATGAAGAACAATGATATTGGGACATAGTAATGTCATAAAGTCCAATTTACCAAAAAATAAAATATTTGTATACTGGTCAATTATCACCAGAAAAATTTATAGCTAATGGAGATTAATTAAAAGTTCCAAAAGTAAATCCTTCACAATACAAAATCAAAGTTTGTCTGTACTTGAATATACTACTTTAGCACATCACCAGAATTATCAAATAATAAGACATGGTTAATGTCACTAATTAAATGTCACCAAATACCACAAAAGTAAATGTCCGCCTAAATGTAAAATCTAAATCTTACCCACTTATTAAATCAAATATGAACTGTAATTAAGCAACAAAATTACAAAAGCTATATCTTTAGGATAATTCCGATGTAAACAATCACTGTCATACATGTCAAGAAAAATCAAAACTATAATCTGAAAAAATGCAACTGGTTGGATTGCCTATATTTCAATTGCCCAATGCATTATGAACTTAAATCTATACTCACAAGTAAAATAACTGGAGTGACAAAACACCAACAGATTCTTATGAACAGTGGCGGAGATCTTCCTATCATCAGCTGGATATCTTTACAAAATCTTCCTGCACCTGTGAAACATAGTGGTATACTAGTATTCAAATTACTAACATTATAACATGCTTTTAACAAAAAAGACTGATTACCAAATAATTAGTGCTTTGTAATTTTTTTTGTTTGGCTATTAGTCAAAAAGACACTTGTAATTCGGTCATATGGAGTCTTTTTCAACTTTCCCTGATGGAGGCAGATCTTAGGTACCACTCTGGGTATTATTTCAACACAAGCAGAGCACAATGTTGACTTGCCTTGGCCATCAATTCAAGACAGTCTAGTCAGCATGAACACTGTGTTGTCTAAAACTCTGATGAGGAGAATAAAGAAGAATTGAATGAATATCAATATTAGAGGTACAGATCTTGCTCTTTGCCAGTGACTAACAATTAGGAACTGACACTTATATTTTGTCTAGTTCACGCATACCAATGTTTAAAGAATGCAATTAAAAATCAAGCATTTATACCAAAGTAACAGGTACTGCTTTTGCACAGGAACTACTCGCATGCCAGTATACAGCCTGGATGCACAAGCTGACCTGCCTGGTGGCAAAGACTAATCACATGGTTCCTGCAGGTAATGGGTTAAAACAATCACCTAAGATTGTTTTATGACTGCCTTTCCTTAAATAATCACTGGTTGTTTTAATATTCTATGGGGACAATAGTAGCTTGTGATAAAAAATTTACGAATCATGGACATGTACATCTCATATATGGAGACAACAGTGGCTTGTGATTCATGGAAATGAACATGTCAGATGTATGCATACTTACCATATACCCAGGCAATGAGGAAACACTCCAGGAAAGATATAATAAGCACACAGAATGCTGCAAAATACCAGTCTACCAATTGATATAGATATATACCACACTGTAAAAAATATATTTAAATGAATTATAATAATAATGTTCATAATCAAGTCAATTCTGTACCTGAAATATAAAAGCAAAATTATTCAAGAACTAGTAATAACCAAAACGGATATTATTCAGATAACAGATTATTGGTACCTGTTTTCAAAATAATAAATAATATTTTTCTTGTGTCATCATTATGTTTATGTATATACTTTTGTCATTATTTGTTTATTGACCTGCTGGACATGGCAATGAACACTGTGACATGTTTTTTGCCGGTAAAAAATAAGAATCTTGATAAGAATAAGTTGATTCTATATTCAAAACTGATGATACAGTGGAAAAAGAAGTGACAAAATATATTTCAATAATAATCATAATTATAAAGTTTTCATTTTATTGTTTCATCCTGATTGCATTTAAATACTGCAGATATCATTTTTAGATTGTTTGTTTAAAGAAAAAGTCAAGCTACCATTATTGCTGCAGCATTGTTGTCGTCATTCAATATTAAAAGTTATCACCATGAAACTTAGAACACTTGCTTATGCTAACAAGATGTAGTTGTTAGACAAGGGGCATAACTCTGAAAGTTTGATTTTTAGAGTCATGCCCCTTTTTCATTATTAAATACATTTCATTTTTGTCAAAAGTGGCTATTTTGACAGATGAATGTTAGCACTGCTTGAGGTGCTCTGGTATCATTTCTAGATGATCAATATTTTAAGTCACAAATATGTCAGGGGAGTGGTTTAAACCAAGTACATATGTTGAACTTTTACTGTTGTTACTATGTATAGTACAGTGTACCGCTCTCTTTTGGGCAATTACCTCTTTACAGCAACTGAGCTTCATTTACTCTGTTCAAAAAAACTTCATAATAAATCTAATCACTCTAGAGCAAGACCTCTCCGCAACAACAATACTCATACAAGAAAATATTGCTCTGCAAAGGTGGTACATGTTTACTGTAACTAAAATGAAGTTCATGTAAAACTAATTCTTACATTTGTAGTGTATGGTAAATCCAACAGTAACAAAATGACGCAGAAACAGCCTGTAACTAATACTTTACGGTTTCTTAACTTCGGGAATGTATCCAGAAATCCACTTGACAGCGTTTCAAACACACCAAACTGAAATGAAGAATCGGGTGAAAATGTTCATGCAGCAATTATGAAAACCCTATGCCATTTGTACTCTTTATATCAAGAGATTAGTAGCAGCTGTAGATAATATTATAAAAAGAAGCTCATGTCACAAGTATAACAAGAGCCATGTCAACAAGGCCATCCCCCCCGAATGTGTTTGCTCATTGGAAGAATGTATATGTAGTAGAGCGGAATAATTCCATTTTAAGAGGTCTTTTGGTAATGAAAACTGATGGCTATAGTGATTACAGATTTGAAACCTATGTGAATACTGATGGCTGAAAATAACAAAGGGCAATTACTGAAAAATAATGCAGGGTAGGTTATCATTCTTGTGTGCTGCATCCTCCTCAGTAAAATCTATCCACCTATGAAGTTTCAAGTTGATACCTCAAATACTTTTTGAGAAAAAAATTGAATTGAAAAAATTAAGTATGAAAAATAACAAAGGGCAATAAACACAACAATTATAAAAAGGTAGAGTTATCATTCTTGTGCAGTGCACACCTCCTGAGTGAGATCTATGCACCTATGAAGTTTCATTTTTGATATCTCAAAGGCTTTTGAGTTATGCTCTGGACAAAAATTAATTTTGAAAAATAACAAAGGGCAATAACTCAAAAATAATGCAGGGTAGAGTTATCATTCTTAAGCACTGCACTCCTCCTCAAATGAGATCCATCCATCTTTGAAGTTTCAAGTTGATACCTCAAATACTTTTTCAGATAAGCTCTGGACAAAATAGCATGAAAAAAAAAACAAAGGGCAATAACTCAAAAATTGTATAGGGAAGAGTTATCATTCTTGCGCACAACATTCCTCCTCAATAAGATCTATCCACCTATGACATTTCATGTTGATATCTCAAACACTTTTTGAGTTATGCTCAACTCAGGTGAAAAATTAGGTATGAAAAATAACAAAGGGCAATAACTCAAAAATTATGAAAGGTATAGTTATCATTCTTGTGCACTGCACTCCTCCTCAATGAGATCCATCCACCTATGAAGTTTCAAGTTGATACCTCAAATACTTTTTCAGATAAGCTCTGGACAAAATAGCATGAAAAAAAACAAAGGGCAATAACTCAAAAATTGTATAGGGAAGAGTTATCATTCTTGCGCACAACATTCCTCCTCAATAAGATCTATCCACCTATGACATTTCATGTTGATATCTCAAACACTTTTTGAGTTATGCTCCACTCAGGTGAAAAATTAGGTATGAAAAATAACAAAGGGCAATAACTCAAAAATTATGAAAGGTAGAGTTATCATTCTTGTGCACTGCATACCTACTGAGTGAGATCTATGCACCTATGAAGTTTCATGTTAATATCTCATAGGCTTTTGGAGTTATGCTCTGGACAAAAATCAATTTTGAAAAATAACAAAGGGCAATAACTCAAAAATCATGCAAGGTAGAGTTATCATTCTTGTGCACTGCACTCCTCCTCAATGAGGTCTATCCACCTATGAAGTTTCAAGTTGATAACTCAAATACTTTTAGAGATATGCTCCGGACAAAAATGTCGGACGGAAGGACGGACGGACGGAGACTATTTCTATATCCGCCGCCGAAATTTTTCGGCGGCGGATAACAAGGCATGCATGCACTTCTATGAAAAGTCTTTTAGCAGTTACTGTTTGTTGGTTAATTTTAAAAGTGGATTGAATACTTGAAAATACTTGAAATACTAAACATGACCAAGTAGAACATACCCCATTCTTTAAATAATCGAGGTAAAAAATGGCCTCTTAAAATTTAATACGCACCTGACTATCAATACCCAGTGATATTAGCATTAGAAAGAAGAGAGCTGACCAGAGTTGAGGTATAGGTAACTTTGTTATTGCTTCAGGGTATATGACTAGAGCTAGGCCAGGACCTGAAATAGTGTAGAAATAGAAGATAATGAATGAGTGTAAGGTTAATATCGATTTTATGAACAAGTTGAATAAAATTATGTTATGCCAGCCTACACAAAACAATATTTTATTTATCACATACCCCAGAATAAAGACTGTTTAAAGTGCAAAAGAATCATTTTTCATGGGCGCACCTATAGTGTAATGCTAAAATTCAGCGCCTCTTTACACTATGTCTGTTAAACACAAATAACATCATGTTCAAATATGTGCACAGCCATGCAATATCATTTTTACAGAGTCACAAAAGCTGCACGGCCATGTGATAATACATAATAAGTTCACCATACTTCAAATGTACAGTACAACTTCTACAAAGTAACCCCCTTTGGTTGTTACTAAGAAGGTGTTGCTAAAGAGAGGTTCTATTTATTTTGAAATCTTACTTTGGGAAGAATTTATACTGATGTAAAAATTATATTTCTCTGCAGATGTTTCACTGTAAACCTATTATTTTTTTATTTTCTCATAATCTTAGACTTGTATGCAAATTATGACACGACACAATGGATACGTTTGTTTTCTAAATGGTTCAAAATAAGGTGCACAAACACAATTTAGGCCATATGGTGCAGAATCAGGAAGGTGTTTTTTGCAAAATGTGGGTGTTACAAACCTAAAGCAACACCAGAGGTCATAACTAGCTCACTTTCTGGAGCTTAGAGATGCATAGACTTCAGTTTTCTGAACCCATTTAATTGCATCTTACAATCATGCAGGGGTAAATGGTTGCTAATCTTGAATTCTGACGCATCATCCCTTAAAGCAATTCTGATGCCTCAACCCTTAAATCTTTTCCCTTATATAAGTGTGTTTCGACAGCTTTTTGCCCCCCCCTTTATTTGAGGCCTCAAACAGTGAAAACATGCCCTAATTAGGCCCCAAACACTGTTTTCCGTTTGAGAAATGTTGTTAAAAAAAGTGACCACTTTTTCGGCGCCGTCCCCCAACCAAATAATATTATCATCAGGGGGTTGCCAGAAGGGGGATGTGCCCCCTTCTGTTTGGGGGGGTTTGTAGGGGGGCGGAGTCCCCTTCATTGCCAAGAAAATTTTGGACATGTGACAGGCTAAAAATGGCCTCAGGTCGGTCTTAGGGTAACTAGTAACCGAAGCTGAAAAGCCTTTTACTCTATCTCAATTCATTGAGAAGTTGTCGCACTTTGAAATCAGTTTTGATGGAAAACTAGAAATGTGTCCATAGGACACGGATGCCCCCACACGCCACTGTTCTGTCAATCTTATGACTCTAGGTCAAATATTGTTTGGACTACATGTGCCACAAGTTGAAAACTAAAAATCAACAAAGGGCCATAATTCTGTTAAATTTGGTCGCAGCAAAAATTCCTTCCTTTACTACCATCTACACATTACGGTTGTTAATCCCTGGAAGTTTAAGCAAAATCTGCCATCTGGTTTAAGAGGAGTTGCGTTCACAAAATTTCTACATATTATATAATGAAAAAATCAACAAAGGGCCATAATTCTGTTAAATTTGGTTGCAGCAAAAATTCCTTCCTTAACTGCCATCTACACATTAAGGTTGTTCATCCATGGAAGTTTAAGCAAAATCTGCCATCCGGTTTAAGAGGAGTTGCATTCACAAAATTTCTACATAGTATATAGTGAAAAAATCAACAAAGGGCCAGAATTCTGTAAAATTTGGTCGCAGCAAAAATTCCTTCCTTTACTATCATCTACACCTTAAGGTTGTTCATCCCTGTAAGTTTTAAGCAAAATCTACCATCCGGTTTAAGCGGAGTTGCGTTCACAAAATTTTCTACATAGTATATAGTGAAAAAATCAACAAAGGGCCATAATTCTGTTAAATTTGGTCGCAGCAAAAATTCCTTCCTTTACTACCATCTACACATTAAGGTTGTTCATCCCTATAAGTTTAAGCAAAATCTGCCATCCGGTTTAAGAGGAGTTGCGTTCACAAAATTTCTACATAGTATATAGTGAAAAAATCAACAAAGGGCCATAATTCTGTTAAATTTGGTCGCAGCGAAAATTCCTTCCTTTACTACCATCTACACATTAAGGTTGTTCATCCCTGTAAGTTTAAGCAAAATCTGCCATCCGGTTTAAGAGGAGTTGCGTTCACAAGATTTCGGGACGTACGGACGTACGGACGGACGGACGGACAGACTGACGGACTGACGGACGGATGGACAATTGCAACGCTATATGCTCCCACATTGTGGGGGCATAAAAACAATGCAAAATAGTGATTTTTGGCAATTTTGAGACGTCCCCTCGTTGCCATGGTAACAGGAAATTTACCATCGAGCATGCTGTTACAGAGGCTATGGTGTAGTCAACATTTGTGCCAAGTTTCATTAGTATTGAAGCATTTTTCATAGTTTCATAGCAGTTTGAACTTGTTACAGGAGGCTTTTCAATGAAAACGGCCATTTTTCGCAATATGCTCATGGGGTAAAAGGTTAAAGGGGCTACAAGTGATATCCTATGATTCAGTAAAGAAAAGTGTAAGACTGGCTCATATTATATAAGTGTAAGCATATTGTGTAAGTGTAAGCATATTATTTAAGTGTAAGCATATTTTGTAAGTGAAAGCATATTCTGTAAGTGTAGGCATATACTGTAAGTGAAAGCATATTCTGTAAGTGTAGGCATATTGTTTAAGTGTAAAGATATTATGTATGTGTAAGCATAATGTGTTAGTGCAAATATTATTATGTAAGTGTAAGCCAATTTTCCAGTTTTTCTATCACTGTGACAAATGACTGTTGGAAAAGCTTCAAAATAAAGTGGAAATGTTGTATAGTGTCTCACTTTGATTTAATTAAAACCATGTTTCTTTAACTTACACCAGTACTGAGCAAATTTGAAAGTGATAAATGTATTAAGATAACAAGAGCTGTCAGTAGGACAGCATGCTCGACTATTCTAAGTGCTTGATAGTAAAAGAGCCTTGATAATGTTAATTTTTTTAAGTTCACAAAAGGGCTAATTTTTTTTTATGAATTCATGTTATAGGCCTTAGAGAGAGTCTAATTATACAGTATTGGCTTGACTTTTTCGGAAGGTATTGTCACAAGGGTGTTTTATTGAGTATAATAATACAAATTACCTATGAATACATAAATTTGACAGAAAAGGTACCAAGGCTTGTTATTAAGATGTTTTATCAAGTAAATCACTGCTTTATTATTATGAATCCATAAAATTGTCCCAAAAAAGGCACAAACCCTTCAGTAGTTATTGAGATAAGAGCTTACATACAAGCAAAACTTTACCATGAATTTCTAAGTTGAAAAAGGGGAGAAAAATCAGCCTAAATGCCAGACAGAATTATGGATCTTTGTCAGTGACCTACATATATGACCGTAAATGCATATGTAAAGTTTTAAATAAATATCTTTAATAGTTATTGAGATATGTAAAACTTGCATGTAAACATTAACCAAGAGACTAAGTAGAAAAGGGGATATGAATCAGCCTTAATGCAAGATAGAGTTATGGAACTTGGTCAGTGACATACAACTATGACCCTCCAATTATGACCCTAAGTGCATGTGCAAAGATTCAAGTAAATATCTTTGAAGACCTTTAACCAAAATTTCTAAGTTTTAAAGGGGCAAATAATTCTGCAAATATTGTAGGCAGAGTTATGCAATTTTGCAAACTGATGTACATTGTTACTATAAAAAAGTATTTTAAATTTCAATTGAATATCTCAAGCAATAATTGAGATATTTGACTTTACAAAAAAACTTTAACCAAAATTTCTAAGTTCCAAAGGGGCATAATTCTGTCAATATTGTAGGCAGAGTTATCCAACTTGTCAATCTGGTGTACCTTGTCACTATAAATAAGTATTGTAAGTTTCAAATGAATATCTCAAGCAATAATTGAGATATTTGACTTTACAAAAAGTTTTAACCAAAATTTCTAAGTTAAAAAGGGGCATAATTCTGTCAATATTGTAGGCAGAGTTATCCAACTTGTCAATCTGATGTACCTTGTTACTATAAATAAGTATTGTAAGTTTCAATTGAATATCTCATGCAATAATTGAGATATTTGACTTTACAAAAAACTTTAACCAAAATTTCTAAGTTAAAAAGGGGCATAATTCTGTCAATATTGTAGGCAGAGTTATCCAACTTGTCAATCTGATGTACCTTGTTACTATAAATAAGTATTGTAAGTTTCAATTGAATATCTCAAGTAATAATTGAGATATTTGACTTTACAAAAAACTATTACCAACGCAGACGCCGACGCGGACGCTGACGCCGACGCCGGGGCGACTACAATAGCTCTCATATTCTTCGAATAGTCGAGCTAAAAACCAACTTCACAGTAAAGCTGACCATAAATAAGAACTTCATTTAAAGAACAAAGGGTATTCTGCTTAACCAATTTAAAACAATGACATAATTATATTTTTTCATACTTTATTAAATTTATCACTTACCCGAGGTAGCTACATCTTTTATGTCCATATTTGCCTCCTTTGCAATATAACCAATCACAGAGAAGATAACAAAACCACCGTAGAAACTTGTAAACCCATCTGCTGCAGCACATATCAATGCATCCCTGAAAGGCGTAAACAAAATGTTTGATTGAGTTTTATGTCGCACAACACAGTGTAGGTCCTATGGCGACTTTCCAGGTTTACTGAAGGCGGAAAAGCTCAGGTGCCCTTAGCTTCAATGCATACTTTCAAGTACATGTGCATTATTTCTGAAATTGTTCCAATCATTGTGCCAATCATTGTGCCGCAAATTTGTGTGTGTTTTGATCTGAATTAAAATGTTAAATTATTACGAAACAGGATTGAACAGCTATACAGCTACAGCTAGTTTATTGGTGGAAGATGATGCTAGCAACGGAATGTGGTACTAGCATTAATAACGGACCTGAAATGATGAACAGAAGAGGATCATCTTACATGGGTTATTAGTTAGAAATTTCAAATTAATTATTTCCATGTAAGTGTGTTACCAGAAATGGCAAAATCTGATTTTGTCTTACTTGTCCATTTTTATCTGAAGCATTTCTTGACTTGTCCATACGGTATTAATATAGTAAATTCTTGAAAATTTCTATTCGTCTGTACAGCCTGTGGGACAACCTGGGCATTAGGGACACTTGATTTTGCCACCTCATTCTGTTCACTTGTAGACATATTAGCAGATTGAAAGCTATATAATTTGTTTAACAAATGCATGATTAAAAAATACCCACTTTGTTTTAACATATACCTTTACATTACAACAATCACAAGGTCCATTAGTTACATGTAGTTACCTTAAACAGTTATTATTGAACTTGTTGTAGCTAGCCATTGTGATCAAACCTCCCCAGGCAGGTCCCAGTGAGTAAAACACCTGCACTGCCGCTTGAAGCCACACCTTTAAGAAATAATAAAATGATATATTTGTCACCTTTTATTTCAGCCTTTTTGGTACATAAATTTTATCAAGAAAATGCCTAGTTTGAGCAAAATAATTCAAACAGAAAAAAATTACATTACATAATTTCAGGTAATATATACCCCTCATCATGTTATAATTCTAATTTGAAAATCAGAACAAACAGACATAAAAAGACCATACACTTTTGGTTAAATGTTACTAAAAACAGAAATTTTATTACTATAATTAGATCATTACTGTCATTTTGCCAAAATATATAGGCAGAGGTGCAATGATAATTTATATTAATTAATTAATAATGTAGTTATTATGCTGTACCTGACCATCTTTGAGGATAGAGAAATCAGGTTTGACATAATATGTGATGCCATCTATAGCTCCTGGTAGAGTTAGCCCTTTCACTAGAAACACTGCAATAAAAACAGGAATTCAATATTTTTATGATTGGCAATATTTTGAAGCAGGTTAATTATAAAGGTTGACCACATTTACACTTTAACCATGCATCTTTTAGAAGTGAACTGGCCATTATTAGCAATTGTTAATCACGTGGAAAGCCTCGTGATAGTTTACATGCATCTAAATAATATGTGTTGCTTCCGAATTCAATTAATTTTGTTTTTAGTTGGGTTTTGCATCGAACCAACACAGTAAAGGTCATATGTTGACTTTCCAAGGAAAGTGCACTTCCGTGGATTATTTCAGGCATAATTGGGCACCTGAGTAGAACCACTGATGTTCCGTAAGCTAGCTGAATAGCTTCCTCACATGAAAGAATCCAAAGTCTCTGTCGGGATTCGAATCCACATTGGTGAAGGGCAAGTGGTTTGAAGTCAATGACCTTAACCACTCTGCCACAGACTCTTGATGCAAAGATTCAAGACTGCCATCATTTGAACTGTAATATAGACTCTAGAGCTCATATATTTAAATCAAAGTCTTAAATCTGGACACAGTATAATTGCACAGATTTAAAACAATAGTTTTAGTACATGTGTACCACAATCTGATGCTATTAAATATTCAGCACATTTTAGACCTTTTTTAAGGAACATGTTCATTTATTGGTGGACTCATCTTAGGAAAGTCTCACTGATGTTATATGTATGAAATAAAAAAATAATTTAAAAGTACATTTTATGACCAAAAAGCTACTCACCTGTGAGAAGAATATATGGTAATACAGCTGTAACGTACACCACTTTCCCCACAGACTTGATCCCCTTCATTAAACACAAGAATATAACCACCCAGGCCACAATAAGAGCCACCGCTAAATGCCATTGTATTGTACCCACGTCTTCAAGACCAGTAGATTTGTGTAACACATATCGGCTGAAAATTAATTATACGGTCAAGGTCATTATCTAAATTATTCAACATTTTTTAAAATAAATTTGAGCTAAAAAAAAAATCATAAAAAAATGTTTAAACAAAAAATATTTGGCTAAATTTATCCAAATTATCATCTAAAATTATCATAAACAATGTTTTTACAAATAATATTTGCCTAAATTTATAACTCATTTTGATCTGAGGTCAAAGTTAAAATTATATAATCATAAAAAAATATGAGCAAAAATCTCATGTTATAATAGGACAGTAAATTCTTCAATTAATTACAAATTAATTTTTCGAAAAAGCACAGACATACATAAAAAAAATACGATGAGAAATATTTTTATTGTAATCTTTTTTAAATTATTTCTGAAATACTTTTTTATGCATTTTATAAAAATAAAGCCCTACTTTCCCAGAGACTGTCAAAGGGAGTTTTAGTACATCTATACTAGTACATGAACTTTGTGATATTTTAAATGTTTATACATAGATCACATTTTTTTAAGTTCACTCCGCACTTCACTTTTTAAAAGGTAATTTCATACATTATAAACTGTACAGTAAAATCAAATATTTTTGTGAGGCCAAAATTTCACAAAATCAATATTTCAGACTTGGTGAGGTTAAATTTCAGGAATTTCTACTGTCAGTTCTGTTAAATTCATATATAAGTTAGATAAATAATTATCTTTTATTTTTCATGTAAATCTTCTATGCACATAATAAGGAAAAAAAATCAGTTGCGAAAAATTACGATTTTATATTAACCAAGCCTGACTTGAATTTCAGCAGCTATTATTACATTTTTATTAAATTTTTATAGCATTAATATAAATGAAGGCATGTATGCATTTCTGAGCTGTCTGATCAGATTTTAGCCAGTTTGCTCCTAGATTTTCTCGATATATAAACATATATGAGCCGCGTCACGACAAAACCAACATAATGGGTTTGCGACCAGCATGGATCCAGACCAGCCGGCGCATCCACGCAGTCTGATCAGGATCCATGCTGTTCGCTATCAGTTTCTCTACTTGTTATAGGGTTTGTAAGCGAACAGCAAGGATCCTGAAGAGACTGCGCGGATGCACAGGCTGGTCTGGATCCATGCTGGACGCAAATGCATTATGTTGGTTTTGTCATGATGCGGCTCATATGCAAATAACAAAAAAAACAAACCCAGCAAAGATGAGAAGCTAACAAAACTGGCAAGGGATAAAAATAGCCCTAATGCGGGTGATAATAAGCAAAAAATGACTGAAAAACAACCAGTAACATTTAAATTTAAGATGAATTTTTCATAAAATAAATACATCTACTGAAAGTACATAATATATAACTGCAAACAAAAATTGACAACAGCAGCTGAATAATATGGAATTATTTTTGGTTAAATTTAATATTTACATAATTACTTCTACAGTTTATAAAGTACACAATAACATTCGTTTTTATCAGACAATTAATTATAACTAGCTACAGTACATGTATTCATGTCAATATTTTGATACAATATTTAATTACATATGTAACTATTTTTAGCTGGGTTTAAGCCTTGCAGACACCTTTTAGAAGATATGGCTTCTTTCTACCCTTCTAATTGGGGGAAGACTTCAAATGCCTCTCTGTGCATTATTTCAGGCACAAGCAGGCACCCAAGTAGAACCACCAACCTTGTGTCAGTTAGCTGGAAATCTTCAACACATGAAAGAATTCAGTTTCTTATGGGATTTAAACCAACAACGGTCAGGGGCAAATAGTTTGAAGTGATCTTAACCACTCATCTGTACAAAACTTCAAAGCAAGGAGTTCCTTCTTGAAAACTAAAGCAAATGCAAAATATAGTGTTGCTTTGTTCATTTTGTTGGACTAACTTACTGCCAAAATTCTTTACTAGCCGTTCTCCCCAAATCTGACGCATTCACTTTGATAAATGTTGAGTTTGTTGTACAGTTTGCGCCACATTGCTGACTTAGGGTATCAAGCCCGGTAATGCAGGAGTCCGTGTTCCACCATTGCCCACACTTGCCCCACGGCAGCTCCGCAGAGAAGGACTGAACAAAGTATACCATTACCCAGACCATCACCATGATGTAATACCAGCAGTATACAAATGATACCACCAACATCATGTAACCGATACCTACATAATGATAATCCATAAATGTAGAAATAATATCAAGCTAAGTGGTTTTTGTTGGCTGTTAAAGATACAGTGGTTTTTCTCTTTTAATCTGGAAGAGGCCTTAAGCCTTTTGATTTTGGGAAAAATTATTGCTTAAATTTCTAATTTCAGAAGTGAAAAAGTTGGTGTAAGTTTGAATTTTTTGGAAAACTGATCTTTAAAAAACAACAATTTCACTGTGAAAAGGCCTTTAATAGACCTATGTTATATAAGGTGAAATATCACTAACATATAATTAACTGCTTTAGTATCATGTATTTATCCTGAACCTGCCGAATTGATGTAATAGATTTGCCCTGCTTTAAACTGCTAATATTCAATTCAATAATTAAAAGGATTTTAAGATCTAAATACACAGATTCAGTTACCAACAGTATGGAGCCGGATCAGACTGCATGGACATACAGACTGGCCTGGCTCTATACTGGTGGCTAAAGCTAAACACTTTTGGCTCCAGTCGGTTCTAACTGCTACTGAACTGTAAACGTCAGATAAAAAAAAACAAACAAAAAAACATTTGACCTTTTAATTATATAATCATATAAGAGACCAACATTTCTAGTTATGTTAACCAAGTATTTGGCAAGCTTGCAAATTTTATTATGTGGCCTTTAAGAAGAACAAAAATAATTAGGCTTAAAACTAAATTGACATTTTGTAGTTTAAAAGCACTGGATCTGAGAGCCAAAATCAATTAAGAGCACCAAATACGGTGTTCATGCTCATCTGTTAAATTTTAAGTTAAAAAGGGGCATAATTCCAAACATATTGCTTTCATAATTAACTTACCTTTGAACAGAGGACAAAATTTCCACACATATAGACAGCTGATTCCAGAGAACTGCCCTAAGCATAATTCAAGGTAGAAGAGAGGTACTCCGCAGAATATTAGGAAGAAAAAGAAAGGTATCAAAAATGCACCTGGAAAAAAAAAGAGGAATTTATTTTCATATTTCAAATTAGAAAAAAAGTGTTATAATTATCTCCCTTTTTTAATTAATGTCAATCCTAACAATAACTACCTCCCCTGATGAATTAATTTCAACATATTATTATCATCATTGTTAAAATACTATCCAAATTATTATTAAAAATATAATATCTCCCTTGTTGAAATAACATTTTATTCTGAATTTGAATTCATTTTTATAATCTTTTTTTAATTCATTGGTTTGGTTGAACCACTGACATCTGTAAGCTGGTTGGATAGCTTCCTCACATGAAAGAAGCCAAAGTGCCTGGTGGGATTCACACCCATTAGTGGTTAGGAGGTTTGAAGTAAACAACCTTAACGTCTGGGCCACACAGGTCCAAAATTTTTTTTTTTAAATAATTATTGTTTAATATTTTAAATAATTATTACAAAATAACTTACCTCCCTTGAATTATACATTTTGAATAATATTTATCACCCTTGTTCAATTATAATAATCTTCTTTGTTGATGATTTGAATGTACAACAGTGTTCAATTTAAGAATAATAGTTAATAACTTGTCACTTGATTGTTAAATTAACATTTTATAAATAAACATCAGTAACTATTCTCCTTTATCAACCTTTTTTATGTAATGTGATATATCCATAACTTGGGCATATCTAAATCTAATGCAGATTATGCAAGTGAGCTATGGAAAAATCTTATCAAAAATAAAATATCATATATGCAACTTTACTTATATCAGATATAAAACTTGACTAAACTGGTTGTCAGAATTTAGAAGACAAGCTTCCTATGATAAATGTTTCAAAATTTTATTTGCAAATTAAATTAATTTCTAACATTGTCACCTACCTCCACCATTCTGCATAACCAAATATGGAAATCTCCACAAGTTCCCCACACCCACAGAATAGCCCACCACCGAGAGTATAAACTCGATTTTCCTGTTCCACACACCGCGGGCATAGTCGACGCTATCATCACTGACAGAATCGGACTCGTTCAGGTCCGGACTTTGGTTGGCAGCTAACTCGTACTCCCCTTTATCAACTTGCTTTTTGTCACTCTGAAAATACAGTCACATCCGATATATGGACCACACTTATGACAGTATCCAAATGAAGAAAACATCATAGAGCAACCATTTGCCCTAAGGAGTATTTTTGGGGGCACCAATTTCAAAAAAAAACAAAAAAAACCGTAAGATGTAACTGTTTCCGTTGATGCACAAACATAAATTATGAAAGAAAATTTTGAAAACAGTTTCAATTATTCCTTAACGAAATATTCTACATAAGCTATATTCAGTATGTTTAATGATGTTTGTTGGAACTTTGTCCACATGGGCCTTACCGCTTTTTTTCATAAATTTATGAACATCTTCCTTTCAATTAATGTACATTGCCAATAATTTTTTTATTATTATATATGAAACAAACAAACAGTCTACCTATCAGGAACAGCCTAATATAACTCATATTCTTTTATTAACACAAGCATGCACACTCATGCATATATAAATTGTCAGCACAAGTTAAACTTTTCCAGATTAACTCTTACTGCTCAAACAATAGCAAATTGTAAAATATTTTATATTAAACTTCATTTACAAACTTATTACAGTCCTTCTTCATATATAATACTTCAAAAATTAAAGAAAATCCACATTAAAACCAACCAAACTAAAACATTTATATAAAATATCCATCACTAGCTGTTCCCGTTAGCGATACAAAGTTTAATACTAAATGATGTCAAAGCATTAACTAATATTTAGCAGTAATAAACATGCACTACTGGAATATATGCCACAGGTTTATTTTTTATATTAAAGAATATATTAATTAAAATCTCTATTCTAATGTGCTTTTAAAGATAAACTGACATGCAAACATATCATTGTCATTATTATTGTTTAATTTTATTTCTTTTACACATGTAATTTAGTGTTTAATTATTTTTTAAAACATGTTATTATACTTGTAATCTAATTTTGTTATCACTATTACTCCTATAATATATTTTACTTTTCATTATAACATAATAATAATTAGAAATGTGTCATAACGCCACAAATGCCCTGCATGCAGCCAAAATATCAAAATATGTTATAATAATATTTGTTTGCACAAATCATTTGTTCATATTTAAAGTTCAAGGACCTTAAACTATTCAATGTTAACACAAACCATTTTTTCATTCTAAGTTCAAGGACATAAAACTATTCAGCATTAACCTTTTGCAAATTGCATATACTGCATATTTGTAGCAGAGATAATGATTAGAAATTGTGAATTCCAATTTCAAGGGGGATAACTGTCAAAAAACATCTGACCATGGCCAAATTAAAACTCCACTTGTATTTTTTTGGTGAAAAACTAGCACATGCAATGTCAACCTTAGACATACATTCCTACAAAAATTTAAGCAGATCCTGAAAATTTCTTATTTTTACTAAGTTCAAGAAGGATAACTCTGTCAAAAATCATCAGACCAAAACCAAATTCAAACAAACTCGACTTGTATTTATTATACCTGCACATGCCATTTCAACCTTATACATACATTTCTACTAAAGTAAGAGTGCAGAAACTTAAAATTTCAAATTCTTTCCAACATTAAAGAGGAATAACTTTGTCCAAATTCATCAACCCTGACCAAATAAGAAACTGACCTGAACATTCCTTAAACATATCCATATAGAAAATTTGAGTTGAAAAAATACAACAGTTACTGTTGGAAGTAATGAATGGAAACTAAAAAATATTTCAAAGGGCATAACTCTGTCAAAAGTCATCGATCCATAACCAATTTGAACTTGACATTCATATGTCTATGATATATATATATATCCATATATTATTAAAATTTGAATGTGCGTGACTGATGTTAAGATAATGAATGGAAACTGATGATGACGGAATGACGGATCAGGGTACCACTATATGCCTGGCCATTTTATGGTGGGGGCATAATGAAAATATTAAGCAGTCACCAGTAAATTGGCAGATCAGATTGTTGTACATACAGGCCTCCCTGACAGCTAGACAGATTATTGGTACTGACTGGAGATTTTTATTTCATCTCAATGCCTCAAAAAATACAAGAGATCTATAGGAGCTAACTATATTTTGATTTTGGGAGGAGGAGGGGGATGTTTGATATCTTCTTTAATACATAAATATTCTGATTTTTTTTTTTTTCTTTGGTTAAGATAGTTGCAAATAAATGCTTACATCCTGTAACTCAGATGTCACAGTGGCAAAAAAACTAAGTTTTGAAGTTTCTTCAAGAAAAAAAATGGTTTTGTGAGGGAGATAGTAGATACCTTCAACTTTGTTATTGAATACTCACTCCAAGGATATATGATATCTGAATTTTGTTGGGTGGTTAAGTGATACTCTTTTCTTCAACATTATCGTGTTTTATAGACACTTTCATTTAAGCCATAACAGTCCCGGAAGAGTTACTTCCCTTACCAGATGTGACGTAAATGGGGGATAAAATTATGCAGGCTGCATAGAATGTTAGCTTATTGAAAAGTTAAATGCGTAAATACTAATCGTTCAATTATGATTTTAACATGTAAAATTTACGCATGCATACATAAATTAAATATCAAGACAATAGAAAAAAATACAAAAACAAAAATTGAGATTAATTCTGGCTACGGAGTGAAACAGCGAAATTTCAAAGTGAAATATTTATTAGATCTAGATTTTATCTAATGCCAGGAATAAATTTTTTTTAAGCTTTTAAGCTAGTAACTAAATCAAATTTTAATAATCTATAAACACCCATACACACTGAAATTGCCTATTATAAATTGAAATGGTCATTCTCCAGTTTTCTGTGTTATTTTCTGTCATTTAGAAAATTCCGGCATATTTGTAACATGAAAATAAGATAGCCAATGACTTTTAACTATTGCTTTTCAAGCTTTAATAGAACAATAACAGAATGTATTCTGTCAATACTTACTGATTCTTTTTCATTATGCCGTATAAAAAATATTTCAAAGAACCAGTGAGGGATATAAATTTATAAATATTCCGGAAAGAACGAAAACCATGTGGCATTGACTTTTATAATTTTAGATTCGCAACAGACGATAATAAGATAATTTTGGTATTAAAAATCTATTCTTATGGTTATAAAAATAAAGACCTTTTCCCAGTAACTTATTTCATAGATAAATAGATGTGTATATATAAGCGCCACTGGGCCGTAACATATTAATTAACAGGGTGCATATGTTGTATATACAAGCGGCACTTGGCTGTGATATCATAAATCACCAGGGTGCATTTTTTAGAGTTATAACATTACATCAGATTACGTCACTTTTGTTAGTTGTCAAAATATTTATGGTCCGAATTTTGTTATGGATCATCCTAGGGACTTTATTGGTCATGCCTTACTGATTTGATACTCGATCCAGAGTCCTACCAACTGGCACAGTCAAAAATACGTAAAATTATAATTCAGTTAATAACGAACTTCTGGGAACGTGTTTCACAACTTGTTTTTTCTGTTATTTTTTAAAATATTTGATACTTGAGTGTAAATTAAAAAGTAAAAAAAGTTGAAAATATTACTTTACCAGCTTAAATATATTGGTGTGATGTACGATTTTTTGAGAGTGCATGCAGTTTTTGCCGCCACAAATAATATACAGTCCTGTACATTCAAAAGATTTTTTACATTTTATGCCTTGACATTCTTTTTTGAAATTTCATAGATTTATATTGTTGATTTTCTTTGTCTTAGTAATGCTTAAATCAAAATGATTTTAAATAAACCAGTATCTTGCAATTACTCATTACGCAGCCGTTTTTTGAAACAACAAAATCCTTACATTTTTGAAACTCAAAATATCTTTTGGGGTTACGATCTTACGAAAATGGTAATCATGATCAGTTACCCAGCGATAAGGTCTACTATATTAAAACAAATCATTAACCTTATTATAGTAAACATTTTTATTCATTTCACCATCCTTTGTTATGTAATATTTTATTCATTTACACACACTTTTGGCAATTTTAATCTGCCAATCTTACAAGAGAAACAATTAAGATCTTTATATCCCTCTATTATTGAACTTAATCGTATCGGCATTGTCCACTGTATCCCCAAAGGACGTCATCCAAGGGCGACAACTTGAATACGGTCTTAAATGAAAGGGTCTATAGCTGTGTTTTATAGCCATAACTTTATACTCAGTAAAGGTTAACACTGAATTTGTGCTCCTCGCATCAACTGACTCTACCTATGCAACCAATACAGACTAAGATTAGCCAGAACATCCGTGCAATTAGGTCATGGTCTGCACCAATTTGCTATTCAGTCAGTAATTATTTTGAAATTGTCCCTAAAAACATGAATGGTTTTGTCCAGATTGAAAGATTGGCAACTCTAGTTAAGATATTTAGTATGGTAAGGTTAATAAATGACAGTTTTTCCAAACACATGATTTATACCTTATATCAGTTATTTCTGTCTGCTTTATACATTTATTGATTGAACTTAAACCTTTGAAATTACTGATAAGAAAGATTTCTCATTTACTGATACTGATAGGAATTCAAAATAGAGGACATCGTAAGATTTATTATAAATCAATATTTACAATCAAGACTGGTACAAACAAGAGATAAAAGCTAAAAACAAATGCCTGTAGACAAATATGAAGTAAAAAGATATCACTGAATCCGATATGTTTCCAATTAAATCTTTTCTTTTTTTTAAAAGGGTTGGGGTTTTGTAGCCTGACAGTGAGGCTTTAAATAGCATGCCCATGTGGGTTTGAATCCCATCAGAGACTGTGATGTTGCACCCTTTATTATTCTAGTCTCATCAGAACAGAGTTTGCAATTTTCACCTTTGCACTCAAGGGATCTCCACTTTTCCATAATTTGGATTCTTTTATAAGAGAAAACTTTCCAGCTAGCTTATGAAATGTAAGTGGTACTGCAGCCATAGATGTATTCTTGAAATTCTTCTGCCCCAAATACTGAAGTCCTCCATAGTCCTACATTTATAGTGTTGGTAATGAAGTGTTTAAATTAGATAAGGCTTGGGGAGATAGTAACGCTGAAGTATTTGTTCACTTTTAAGTATTTGTGCTAATCATAGTGTAGGATTTAATCTAGGCTTTTTAAATTATAGATCAGCCTCAGATGGTCAACTTTGTTGAATGTCTTAGAAAAGTCTTTGAAAACAACATCAGTTGTAATTGGCGGTGTAATTCTAGATTGTCTTAAAGCTAGTTCTTGCATAAGCTAACACATCTATGACCTGAACAAAAAACTGTCCTAATAAAAGGTCATACAGTGAGATTCAAAGTATGTGCTTACGTTGTTGAAGCTATATTTTGTCTAGTCATATCCTTCCATTTTTCAAATTCTTCAGTACATTTATTCAGCACCAACTTGTCAAGAAATATTATCATATCAAATCATCATAAAGTTTCCACCCAACTTAAAAATAAATGCCCTAACAACAGCCAAAAAAATCAAACTGTGACTGTGTCCAATTTAGAGAAAAATTGAACTGATTTTACTTGATTTTTATATAAAAAAAAGTGGTAGCTATGGTTACATGTATTTTGAATGTAGTTTATTTATGCCTTGGGCTTTTTCCCCAAAATGTTATATGATGTCATGAAAATTTATCAATGTATTTTTTTTTTTATAATTTTTTATTTAAAAATAATTAAATAACAGTAATTAAACAAAACAGTTATTGCTGGATCAACTTTCAGTTGAATGTCAGCATTAATTTCACTATTTAAAGGGTTGTTGATAATCCAGTTTAGTCCGATTTTATATCATCATAATAATGTTCTAGACCTAGTTTGAACTTGGAACCCTTTTTTTAAATGTCCTTGATGCATGTTATAATGCATGATCTACTTGGAACAACAATCGGAATCATTAAAACAACTTTAATATTTAATTTGCAAACCAGAAAGACATTTTCGTATGATGAGCTTTGTTACTGGATAAATTCATAATCATTTATATGCTAAAAAATCGTACATCCGAAATTTACACATGAGTGTCATATCCGACTACTATGACATTACGATTTATTAACCATTTTGTATCTGATTAACTGTAGCTCGGCAGTAGTTTAGAACTATAAACTGTGATAAATAATTATTAAACAAACCCTTTTAAGCAGATGATCACACTTAAAACCTCCCATTTTACACCCAAATACTGGATTTCAGACGATATTATAATTGCATGCACGTAAATCCAAGGGACTTTACTCCTACGAACTGCGCTGTTTAAGGTTGCGAGGTATTAAATTAAGAATAACAATGACGCTGTAAACTTGCCATATATTTTCTAATAATTCTAACCAACTATTGAGTCAAGCCTGAAACTACTTATGTAGATCTAACTAATAACCTATTATAAGTACCGATAGAGACTTTGTAATTATAAAGCTTCAAACATAGATCTACCGAGCATTTATTTACAAACCCATCATGGAACTGACGATAATATTTAAAATATCTATTGGTACATGTAGTTCTTCATGACAAAGGGTACTGGAAGGGATTTCAAATTAATTAGTATCGATCCAACCATAAAAGCATTGTCCTGCAAAATTCCAGCTAACTCCCTCACACCCCATCCCTAGTCCAATATATTAGACGTTACAGGCTTGTTATAGTTTATGTCGGTCAAGCCTGACGTCTAATAGTTACAGTTGAGTTCACACTAAAGGTTACACAAAGTGCACTAGGAGTGCACTACATGTGTACTACTAGTGCACTACAAAGTGCACTAGTAGTGCACTACTAGTGCACTTCATAAGTGCACTTTGTAGTGCACCAGACCTATTATATGTATTAAGCAGTTACCTTTTATTTCACTGAATAGCAATTTGACTTTTACAAAAAGATAGAAAATATAGATATCTGTTTAATAGTTTTTCAATAAAAATTTGAAATTGTGATTATTGGATTTTGTGAAATATGGCGTAAAATATTCGAACAATGAATTTCAAAGTCATTAATTTTACTGATTTTGTACTTTAAAATTTAATTGTTAGAATAAGTAATTTAAATATAAATAATTATAACTTTAATGTTGATAAGTGCATAAATAAACAAACTTAATTGATATTTAATATGATTCTATTTTGTTATAATCTGGAAATGAAATTGCTAATCAAACAAAAGTAAGTCAGTTCTTTTTTGGGGGGGAGGGGGAATTATACCGTAGTATTAGTTATTTTTGATCTTAACTTATGGTTGTTTTAGTTAAAGGTAATGATTTTAAGCATTAATAGCCTTTAATACATTAAAGAATTAATATGTTTATAATTGGCCTAAATTTTGTCAATTTTATTTCATTTATAATCTCTCTTACCTTCTCAAACTGAGATTTACCTAAGATTAATATAAATGATATATATTATTCTGAAAATAAATATTTTATATATAATGGTGGTATGTATTGATATGTGTGGATTAAGTATTGATATGTACATGTGGGATACTAGTATACTTAAACTGACATGGATATTAACAAAAAGATTAGAAAATCTGTCAATTCCATTTTTTTGAGACGACACCAATCTTTTTTTCCTTTTTTTGTCATGCATTGTAACATTATTATGCAATATGATTAATTTTATGAGTTTATTATAAATTGCAAAAATATTCATTTTTCTTTTTGTACTATTTTGTAATGAAATTTATTTGCACCAACATCCAGAGAATACAGAATTTACATCGCCTAATCTGGCTTATGTTATTTACCCTGAGGGGCTCTTCTTATCAGCAGGGTACTATATCAAAACACCTATAGTCACAGCATGACTTTTGACACTTTGATCTCCTGTAACTGTTTTCTGCTCATGTATGATATTAAATTTAAAAAAAAAACAACAAAAAAAACAGATCTGCATTAAAGTGAAAAGGAAGTTGCAAAAGTTTTATAATCATGTATTTAAATAATATTTTCTTTAAAATATATTATCTTCTAAATGCGTAAAACTGACAAGGCAAATTTGTAAAATCTATAATATAGAAAAATAACATTTCCCAGTTCAAAAACTAAAAGATGCTGCAAATTTTAATGCAGAATTGCAAGAAATGTGAAAAAATATTGATACACAGTCTTTGTAGAATAGTTAACACTGATATTGGTTTTAAACCAGTTTTTTATAATAAGATTAGAAAATTCCACTTCAAAGACAATAAATGACAATAATATCTAACGTGCGTAATAATATCTAACGTGCGTTTATGACAAGATTATTTTTTATATTTGATTATACAAAAAGTATAGTCATTTATCGATGACTTACATGTATTTTGGGGGAAAAAAGGAAATTTTCAATAAATATTGCATACATTTGCATTTTTGTTATTTACCCTGAGGCCCTCGATCTTATCAGCAGGAGACCAGTGTAATGAAAACAGTCGCTCTAAAAAAAATACCAGTACACAGCATGACTCAGACTTTCCTCTTGTATAAAAACATTCCCTTTATACATTACATTTTTAATGTAGAAATCTTTAAAGGGAAAGACAAGGTTAAAATAAAAACATGATTTCAGAAAAAGAATACTATAAATAATAAGTCTGCAAATTTTCTGCCGCCAAATAATAATATTAAACGAATGATAACAAAATTTAAATCGCTAAATCACCGATTTCTACAAATCGGTAAGCGCGGCCATGTTTGTGTATTGGACGTATAAAAACAGGTGCGCGTGATGTCATTTCCCCACATCTTTAGATTCATGATAAATCTAGTTGAATCGTAAGGAAATATTAATATAATGAAGTATTGATCAGACAATTTAATTTTCACAGGAGGTGTAGAGTAGATTTTTTATGGTTCAAAATACGTAACAATATAAAAAAAAAATAAAAAAATAAAAGATAAAGAAACGTACGGCTAGCCAAAAGTTCTAGCCGTACGTGAGTCACGAACGACTAGCCAGGACGCGCTGTATTGTCTAGCCGTACGGCAATTTTCAAAATTATATGGAAGTCGAACGTTATAAAATTGTTGATTTTCATGCTTATCATTTGTTGTTTTATTTGTATGAATTATTAAATCATTTTTGTTAATTTTAAGCACATGGATCGAATAAAAAAAGATCGGAGTGGAATAAATAAATAAAAAGAACATTGAATGAAAAAAAAACAACGGTGAAATGCAAAAATAATTATATAATTTTCAAAACAGTAGATAAATATCGAACATAAAAGCACAGTCAATCAATTAATTAGCCTTAATTAAAACCTATCCAGGGACTGACAATAGAGTTTTAGAATGCCTTTCACGGATCATGCAAACTTTCCTTGATACAGTACCGTCGGTAATTGTCGCAATTATCAAGAGCCTAACAACAATCATTTTTCAGTGTTTGTTGTTTTTGTTTGTTTTTTTCATATAAAAGGTGTCGAAAATTAAACTTAATGAAACAAAAAAGGATTATTATCAAAAATCTGTAAACTATTTCAATTGGTGTAAATGCAAGCAAAGGCTATTTTTTCTCGACATCTTGCGATGACAAAGATCGATATATATAGCGATCAAGGCGATTAATCTCTAAAAAGTTAACATCCAAAGACAATTAATGCTGTTTTTTGGTTTAAAATCCTGGCTTAAAGTCATAAAAATAACATATGCATTTTCGACTTCCATAAAATTTTGAAAAGTGCCGTACGGCTAGCCAATACAGCGTGTCCTTGCTAGTTGTACGTGACTCACGTACGGCTAAAACTTTTGGCTAGCCGTACGGGCCCGTACGCTAGCCACTTCCATTATAATCACCCTACTAAAACGTTTTCTTACTAGTACATATAATTAAATTTTGAAGTTTGATTCTGACTTTCAAATTTAAAGGTGTGAAAATATGTTATAATAGATGTACACATTTCAAAAATATAAGCAACTCTTTTGAAAAGTAAATTGTTAACATGTCTGTCAACGTATTATGCTGCGCATCGTAATCGTAGCCTAATATTAACTGCAGGCAAATCATTTTTATTGGCTGCTCAAAAATCTTATTTGCATAATTTATTCACACAATTGCTGGTTCTTACTACTTATGTCTAATACTGCGCATTGTCCATTGTAATTGTTCCTAATTTGCACCAAATGCTCCTGTCACACTGTGTACTGACGATTTTTTATTGCTCCTTGTATGCTTCTGTGCCGACAGACCTTTTGATCATGCACAATGTTGCCCTGATTGGTTAATCACCCTTGTCAAATATTCTAATGACGAAATAGACATCTATTTTTTTACGCTTCATCAGTGAACTGAATGACCTTAGGGGAAATTCGTTCCACACCTGTCAAATTATACTGTAGTAAATTACAGCACGTCATAAAATAGCAACACATTTTTTTCAGTTACCAATAATCATTTTAAATATTAAGTAGATTTATGATTTTTTGTTTTATTGGTTTAAATTTACGGTAGTAGAAAATGAGTATCTGTCGGGGAAAGGAAATTTTGGTAAGTAGATAACGTGGGAAAAGCTTTAGGGAACTGGATAAACCCGAGAATATGCGTAATTATAGGGGAATGGGCAACCTGTTGCTGTGTTGGTACCAGTTTTGACTAGGTGCCTAAATAACTTTACGGACAGTTTTGTTTTCATACGATTAAAGTTGGCTGCTCGATTTTCCTGCGCGCCTTTCTCATTTTTAGCGCGTCCAATGGCGGAAAATCGCGTTTAAAATAAAATTTATGGTTACTTGAAAATTAACAGTCTTGCTTAAATCATGTGGTGGGTCTGCGCAAGCTTGAATATCGCACAGTCCCGTCTCAATTTTTGTGATTGGTGGGCCAATTTTATGGTTTTAAGAGAATCTAGGGGGGTACGGGGGCATCTCCCCGGAAATTTTATTCTAGGATGCTGTCAGGGGCGTTTTCCCGCTTATTTTGGGCCACAGTTTTACAGCCTGCCGCTTACATGTTATAGTAAGTCTATTAACGTTTTTTTACGATTAATGCGTCCGTAAGTTTTTAGGGTAAAATTAAGGTTCGGCATGACGGGCACGGTCAGGTGTACATTAAAAAGATGAATACATGTAAGTTTATTATTATTAATTCTTTAAATACATTTTATCTGATGATTATAAATAAACAAATAAAAGAAATATTACAGTACGTGGATTATGTTTAGCATAAATCACACATTGGTATTAAGCTTAAATAACAATCGATGACATGATGGAAGAATAGTACATTACGAGTCAACAATAACCACTTTTTGTTTAGCAGTAACTTGTATTTTGTTA